GGGTTTAGGATTTAAGGGTTTAGGAGTTTAGGTTTTGTGTTTGTTGGTTTAAAGTCCGTGAGGGTTCTATGTACTGCTATGGGGGATACTTCCCAAGTCATGGTTGAAATTCCGACTATAGAAATCCTACTTTCTACTATATAGGTGCATCGGACCCTTTGGTAGTAAAGCAACACTCTAGGGTTCAGGCTTCAGGGATGTTTAGGAAGTTTTCGGTGCAGGGTTCCAAGCCCCAAGCCCGTTGTATCAGGCCAACCTAGAAAGCACGCACCCTCAAACGAGAAACTTGAATAGCAGAATCTTCATTGTACCCTCTTCTTCTGGTACTTTAGGCTCATAGGGTTTAGGGTTTATAGACCCCTAAACAGTACGGGACCCCATTATAAGCCTTCAAGGCTTGGGGTGCAGCCGAGGTAATGCTGCCTGAGCATGCAGACTTCATGGGAAATCGTACCAAGCGGATGCTCGGGGCCACTTGGACAAGCTTCGGGTACTTTCTGCCTTTAGGGTTTAGGTTTTAGGATTTATAAGTTTTAGGATTTATAAGTTTTAGGATTTATAAGTTTTAGGATTTATAAGTTTTAGGATTTAGGGTTTAGGGCTTAAAGGGTTTATAGGGTTTATAGGGCTTATAGGGTTTATAGGGCTTATAGGGCTTATAGGGCTTATAGGGCTTATAGGGCTTTTAGGGTTTAGGGCTTGGGGTTTAGGTGGGGCTCTCTACCTCTAGGCCTTTGGCCGCCCTCCACTGGATGAAGCCATGGGCCTTCAGTTTTGACTTGACTCTGTGCTTTGAAAGAAGCCTCAGACTCTGTAGCTTAGACGCATGAGCTCTGGGTTTAGGGTTTAGGATAGGGTTTAGGGTTTAGGGTTTAGTGCCTATAGTAGAATGTAGGGTCTCTATATTGGGAATCCTTATTCTGATTTGGGAAAGTATCCCCCCAGAACATTACCTAGGACCCTTTGGGGAATGAGGAGGTGGATGCTGTACACTGGAACTGTTCAGGCCTTCTTATCGCAGACGGCTTAACTGATGTTTGCTTTTCCTCTAAACCCTAAAACCCTAAACC